TGATTGTTCTCAGGAGTATGCCGCTGGCCTAGTGTCACTGTACCCGTTACAGATGCCTAGTCTATTGTCTGGCTGAATATTGAGACGTGGAGGTGGAGGTGGGGAGTTCAGTTCCAGACCTGAACAGTGACTAGGGGCTATACTCTCAGGTGAGGGATCCACCATTCTTTACTAGGCTGATCTTTTGATTTATTTATGATTTTGTGTTTTGTTCCGTGTTGTTTCCTGCTGGTTAACTCTGGAGGAGTAACAAAGCAAAATTAACATGATTACTTTTGCTATTGAGTCAGCACAATGTGAAAACCTTATCAGATCTTCTGAGTGAAGCCTTTAAGCTTTGTTGGGTCTGCTTCTCTCATGGTCTAATTATACCTTATTAGTGTCAATGTCTTTGATGAAAGATCCTGAGTCTTAGCTATATGCTTGAGAGCGTATAAGAAGACCCTTGCTTAGTATATCCCTCACATGTGAATTTTGTGATCTCTTTAATAGAACCAACTAGTTATTGATTATCTTGTGCACATTTTTCAACTTTGTGGTGTAGTGTGTTATCTAATATCTCTTCTAGCCATAGTTTGTAACTCCCATCACACATTTCTGCCCGTCTGGGTCTGGAGAAGGAAGGTGAGCGAAATTAACAACAGCATGTTATGATTCAGCTGTGGATGTTAGTTCAGTTAAGAGCAGTTGTATAAACTTGAAATTCTACCTTGGGTATAAAATGAACCATTTCAGAAGCAGGAGCTGGGAGTCTGACTACTATCAAGAATGATGAGCCAAGAGAGGAATGCATCCTTTGGGCCCTAAGATCCCTGTACTTTGAATCTCCTCACCCAAGAGACAGAAGGCTATGACAGTGGAATTTGGCTGAGGAACAGCAGTAGCGGAGCCAAGAGCCAGAATATTAGAGCAGTGGACTTCCCAACCCACAGAGCAAACACAGCTGAATGACTGTAGGCAGGAGGCTTGGTTATAGAGCGGGGGAGTTAAGTTTGCTGGCCCACTGCACTAGAGCCGTGTATCTTCAGGCTGTGGTTTATGGTAAAGTGGTGTGTTGTGTGGGCATTTATCAGCAGCTGACTGGAACAACAGTGCCATGAGAATTTCATGATGTTGTATTATAACCTATTAACTTCCCTAATAAATCCCATAACTGAGTATGGTGTCTGAGTTCTGTGTGACCATTGTAATGGATTGTTGGACCCAGAGTTGAGTCGAGAGTGTCTCGGAAGGGATGATGCGTGCCATATTTTGGCAAGCTTATTAGTCTAAATCTCAGAGTCTTCTAGGATCGCGTCAGAAATGAAGCTCAAGTCCTACACTGCCAACTTGAAACTCAGTGTTGTTGTGAGGGTGAAAGCAACAAGCAACAGAATGAGAGAAAAAGGAAGTTGAAGAAATGAAGTCTTGAAAACACGTACATGTCACGGGTCCCTAGCCAGCGGCCTGAGTTTGAGAGCAACTTGAATTGAGTGTATTATTTCTCAAGGGAGCAAAATCAAGCCATACCTACGGCCACAATTCACATCAAAACACAACTTCTAATCAGGGAATGAAGAACGTGAAGTTTCAAGGTGAATTTTATCTGCATTTCTAAGTTCATGAAAAGAAATGGCCTTCCATGAGAATGAGAACCACTGTAAACCACCAAGTTCAGATGATTTGGAGCAAAACATAGTCCACTAAAGAGATTTCATCACCAAAGAAGTCTCTGCACCTCTATATCTCTGCAGTGGACATAATTAATATGGACAAGGTTCCAGTATCTTTTGAAATGCCATCTACCAGGACTCTACCTTCTGCAGATACAAAAAATATATTACAACCAATGGGCATGAGAAGGCTTGCTTCACTGTAATCTTGGTTACATTGTTTGTGGAGTCAAATTCACGCCGATGGTAATTTTTAAGCGCTACCATGCCCTACAAAAAAACTGCCCACCAGCGTGGTTGTTCTTTGTAACAAGAAGGAATGGATAGACTATGATTTTAAAAAAGTATTTGTGGATAACTGTTACAGGGCCAGGTAGGGTGGGATGGATTCTTTTAGAAAAAGTTGAATAATTTTCAGTGTTTGCTTGTTCACAAAGAAGAAACCATTGAAAATTATATTTATTCAAATGGTACCCATGTAGCAATCATAACTGGCAGTCTTACAGCAGGCTACATCTGGTAGATATAGTGGTCAACCCATTCAAGACTTTGGTGAGGAAGAGGGTAGGATGGATGAATGCAGTCTGAGATTTGTAAATTCACACCATCAGGATGACTGAAGCGGATGATGTTTACAAGTCTACATGTGGATAGCTTGTGCTTGGGGGAAATTAACTCCAGAAACCAATTACAATGGCTTCAAGAAGGCTGGGATTATGGGCCAACAGAGTCCTGATGACGAAGCTGAAGACTCTGAAGGCAATAAAGACGGTGACACAGGTTCAGAAATCACAGAAGAGCATCTTCAGACAGCTCTAAGATATTTAAATAATGAGAGTGGTGAGGGATCGGACTCTAAAGGGTTATGGAAGTTGAAAGATGATGATAATGAATGAAAGTATTAAAGAGACCTATTTTAAGATGAAAACACAATCCCTTCTGATGACTTTTCTTGATTTCTTGATTTCAGTGACATTGATTATCAAAAATGGTTTAATTTGATTTATGAAAGCAATAGACTGTAAACCCTATTTTATGGGTAGTTTTATGCCTAGGCTGCTTTCTTAACTGATTTCTAGTTCTTGGTGCATTCATAGTCTTTGGTTTCAACATGGCGTCCTATTTGCATCACAAGCCTGTTCAGTTCACCACTGATTGCACTTGGTTTATAAAAACACCTATCTTAAATGAAATTTCCATGAAATCATTTTTTATCCTGGAAACATTAAATCTGTTGGGCAGAAAAAAAAAAGTGAAATTGAAGTCTACAGCATACAAAATACTGGTTTAACGTGCTTATGAAAATGACATTTAGCATGTGTGTTATACATTTTTCAGACTGAACAGCCCCTGCATGTTATTTTCATCAGTGTCATTTGAGATAGGCACATAGATACGCACATACATACATAAATATATATGTGTTGTTTGTTGCTGTTAAGTGCCATGGAGTCAACTTTGACTCATAGCAAACCTGTATAGGGTTTCCGAGGATTTAAATATTCATGCGAGCAGAAAAAACCTAATCTTTCTCCCATGATTTTATATATACACATATATATATATATATATATATATATATATATATATATATATATATATATATGATTAATCTCTTTTTAAATAATTTCCCTCTTCTTGATGCAAAATCAACAGGCAAGTTTCCTAGTCATCCAACAGACCAGGAGCTCAGTAGAGAGGTTCCTCCATACTAACGCTGGCCTTCCTGCTGTCAGAAGTGGCAGAGTTACCGTTCATTAGAAATGTCTCATATGGAATAGTAGCTTTTACACAGTGTCTCCTCCAAAGGGGCATACACTCTTACCCTGTTGCTAAAAGAGAAATGCTATTGTCTATTAATACTACTGGAACTAAAGATGAATAGTGAATTGGCCTTGATCTGTGACAGTGAGTTTGACTTTGATAGCTCATCACTTTGAAAGGTTCTTTTATATTTATGAAAAAAAGCATGACGTCAAGGCAGGGAGACAAAATGGATATCAATATATTTAAGTCCAAACTCGAAGGGCTTCTTAAAAAAAAAAAAAGGCTTAGTGTGAGCGGATTTTTTCTTGCTTGCTTTTTTTTTTTCCCCATGCATAACTAATTAGCTTAGGTTATTATAAGCAGGGCTGCTGTGATAAAGTTTCCGGTGGTGTCTCGGGATACCTTGTTTATAGTGCCTTCTCTATGCCAGTCAGTCTTCGAATTGGAATTGCAGAAAGTAGAGGGAGTGCCTAGTCTACCGTTTCTCGCTGGATTGGGGCCACTAAAACGTTGTTATGCTGGAAATGCTAGAATATAATCACTTTCAGGTGAGCTTTATTCTTATTCATGGTCCGCTGCTGAGATACACTGTAATTCATTAAGGAAGTCACCTTCGTATATGCTTGTAATAGACACATTGTTTTCCATAAGTTCAAGTCTGTTGTTTTCATGCTGTTTATTGCTTGATACCATGGGAAGTGATTCACTGTAGTTTTGAACAAAGTCAATATTTGTAAGGTTTTGTCCCACCACCACCACCACCACCTCCAGTGTGTGGCTGTGCTTACTCCATCAGCTCCTGTTAATAGCTCATAAGATAATTGTGTTTATTAAGAAAAAAATGACTTTAAACAGTATTTTTTATTTGAAACAGAGCATTTCTGATTCTGTAAGGGACAAATATCCTGGTGGTTTGTTAATCTCTGTACCTCTTTAAACACATGCATGTAAGTGTTTATATGTTTGAAAGAAACACCTTAATGTAGAATTGCTTTTTATGTTGTGTTCTTTCTTAATTAAAATGTTGAATAATCATGTCCAAATGAAAGTGGGAGGAATGAATCCACAACTAGTTGATTTAATCACTGGAATGTTTCTGTTTATCTCTGACAACCATTTTACAGTTTGTCTTTAAGGAGGCTTTTGAAAAAACAAACAAACAAAAACAGAAATCTGTTTGGTTCGCCAAAGAGAGTGAAATAAATTGAGTTACACTCTATCTTGTAGTTTGCTGTTTTTACCTTAATAAACCCTTTCGGGTGTGTTGGGAAGATTTTCCCTCTCCGTATAGTTTCAAACTTTTAATTACTAGACATGGGAAGAAGGGCACAGGATTTCGAAGAGATATGCAGTTAATTAGCAGAGAAACAAACAGTGCAAAACATCACCCCAAATCCCGAGAGCTGGACCTAAAACGTTAGCAGTATTAAAATCCATTGACATCAGTGTTTGGGACATAACAGAGGTTTAACAATTTCTTTTGCTGGTGAATTTGTTAGTGTCATGTTTGTGCCTGATTGAGAACCATGGGAAACTGGAAAATCACAATGTTGTCTCTCTTCTCTTCACGGCTGTGTTCAGGTGCAGACCCACCTTGAAAACCCCACCAAGTACCACATACAACAAGCCCAAAAGCAGCAGGTAAAGCAGTACCTTACTACCACTTTAGCAAATAAACATGCCAACCAAGTCCTGAGCTTGCCATGTCCAAACCAGCCTGGCGATCATGTCATGCCACCTGTGCCCGGGAGCAGCGCGCCCAACAGCCCCATGGCTATGCTTACTCTTAACTCCAACTGTGAAAAAGAGGTAATTCATGTCTCCTCTCCTCTCCTCTCCTGTTTTCTTAGACTAAATGACTGTCTGTTGGATATTATTCCCACGTTTAACCATGCACTCTCTAGTTTCTCTGCATGGCCACTTTCACTGGCTTTTGTCTCAGATTTGCCAACATGGCTGCCTCACCCTCTTGAGTTATTGGGTTCCTGGCACAAGAGGGAACTCTGGTTCATTCCAGGTGGGATGTGGAGGCATGGGCGCTTTTGCCGTCAACTTCTTTCTCCTTCATTAGCTGAATGCTCTGTTCTCTTCATTGCCTTTCAGTTTACAAAACAGTGAAAATGCAGAGAGAGGAGAAGGGAAGGTGGAAAAGGAAAAGCAAAAATAGAAAAGGTGTGGGGCAGGCGGTTAGAAGTTCCGCTTGTTGTGAATGTCTGGAATATTATTTTTATTTCTCCCTGAGTTGTGAGGAGGAAAGGGAAAAAAAAAAAAAAAAAGAAGCCTAGCTTGAAATGTGCATTGATGAATTTAAATAATACAGCAGATGACAGTTTAACAGAAATGCAAAGCTTTAAGTCCATTTCATCAATGCTGCCCCTTGAAAGTGCTTTTTTAAAAGGCTGGATTGGAGATGAGACGCAAACACACCTTCAAGAGAATTGTTGTACTGGAATCTGGAGCATAAAAATACCTGGGAGGACAATTAATGATATAACAATGCCTGCTATTTCCAAATCATGAGATAATGCATCTTGTTTTAATGGAATTTGATGTGCTCTGAAATGTTTTATGATTTCAGAGGTGACTTCTAAAGTTTGGTTGATTTTCATTTCCAGAGAGACTCTGTCTTTTCCCTTTAGTCCAAACCTACCTCCATAGTTTTCCTTGTCCATATTTGTCATTTATCAAGTTGATTGGATGCTAGTTTTTCATTCATTAATCTTCTCTTGGTTAGATTGCTCTTTGTTTGAAAGCTTAGTTCATCTTGTTGCTATCAGCCTTGTATGAATGTATCATTGAAAAGTAATGTGCAAATCCAAGTCATGGGCTGTTTTCACTTGTGTTTTTGCAGGGATTTTATAAGTTTGAAGAGCAAAACAGGGCGGAGAGCGAGTGCCTGAGTATGAACGCCCACGCGCGAGCATCCTGCATGCAGGTATTGAAGGACTTGGCGGTCCACGGATGTAACACTTTGTAATAAGGATCTATATTTGTTGCTGATCACACCTTTCTGATGACTTAAGAGGGATTTTTTTTTTCCCCCATTGATTTTTTTTTTTAATAGAGAAGGCTGTGAACGGGGCCAATTTCTTCAGTGTCTCATGATTTAATAACTACTAGGGAAATGAAACTTAAGACGCATTTTCACCCCAAGTTGTGTTAAGACACTAAGAACTACTTAAAATATAAACATCTTAAAAAGTGAAATATGAAATGCTATGCTCCCTTGAAATACTATTACTAATGCAGGCTAGGCAAATCTGCAGGGCAGTGAATTTTCTAGAATATTGGTAAAAACCAAACTGTCTATTTTTTTGGATGTATCAGAGTAAATTAAAAAATATTGCTCCTAGTGTTATAGTTCCTACACACACAGGTTTATTCCAAACAACTTGCATTTAAATAAGTCTTTGTGGTCCATGGATGGCTGTAGATGAGTAGATGAGTTCTTTCAGTAATACACTAACTAGTCTTAGTCTAGTTTGGGTACCTTCAAACAAACAAACAAAAAGGATCTAATCAGAACAGTAGCTTCCAAGGGAAACTACTGAACCACAATTCAAGGCAGAGAGGTCAATTCAGAAGCTTCTGTTGACTGTTTTCTGGGATTCCAAAGGATTATTTTTGATGTTGTTGTTGTTGGGTACCATGGAGTCGGTTCCGATTCATAGCGACCCTGTACAGGGTTTTCAAGGCTGCAAATCTTTATGGGAGCAGGAAGCCTCATCTTTCTCGTGCAGAACAACTTGTAATTTCGAACTGCCGACCTTGAGGTTAGCAGCCCAATTTGTAACCACTCTACTACCAGAGTTTCTTAAAATCCATAGGATAATGGGGGTTATTCTGCAGAAATTTTTAAAAAACGGAAATTTGCATTGATAAGAAAAAGACGGAAAAATTTGCACCAGGGGAATTTTTTTCTTTTTTCTTTTTCCTGTCCACAATGCACCTTGTCATTCTTCGAGTGCAACAAGGGCTGTCCTCTGAGAATCTCAGTGGGAAACCTTACCGCATCCACCCTACAGCCCTGATCTGGCCCTTTTAGACTTTTCTTTTTTCCCAAACTCAAAGACTTTCAAAGGAACATGACCTGAGTCCCATGAGGATGCCAAAACCTCCATTTTGATGTGGTATAATTTGAAGAACACAAAATTCTTTGGTGAAGGGGTTGTTCATATGGAAACCAAGCCTACAGAAGTATGTAGACCTTAATGGGGGATCTGTTGAAAACAATAGCTTCACATTTTGATATTTCAGTTGAATAAAGGATTTTATAGCAATACTTTTTGACTTACTTTCATATATGTTGTTTTATAAAGGAGCTCTGGTAGCATAGTGGTTATGAATCGGGCTGCAAACCGCAAGGCCGGCAGTTTGAAACTACCAGCTGCTTCTTGGGAGAAAGATGAGGCTATTTGCTCCCGTAAAATTTATAGCCTCGGAAACCCTGTTCAGGGTCGCTATGGGTCAGAATTGACTTGACGGCACTTAACCGCAACAACAGTGTGTTGTTTTATAAAATAGAATTTCATGGAGCACATAATTTGATATCTTTTTTACTTAACATTTCCTGAATATTTTCTCAAGTCAGTAGATTAAGATTCACCTCTAAGATCCCATTTAATAGATAAATCAATTGTTCTGTATTCATTGACTATTACAGTTCCACAGTAAGTGTGTCTCTGTGAGAGAGACATGTGTATTTGAGGGAGCGGAGTCATAAGCAACAAACATTGTCTTGCTTTTTCTTTTCTCCCTTTCTTACCAGCTTATATTACTTTTACCATAAGAAAAAAAAATGTATATTAAACCTTCTTTTGTTATACCAATTTTACTGCCCTAAAAAAAAAAAAAAAAAAAAATTAGAAATTTACAATGAAAGGTTGTTTATAAGTATCCTGGTCCATTTGCCCGGTTTGCAACTCAATAGAAAAATGCTTTCCTCATCAAAACAAGTAAAGCCGATGTACCTAGAAATGGAAGCTAACAAACAGTGCAGCTACCAATACCTCACAACCAACTTCCAGTTATTCTTCTAAGGAATCACGTAAAAAGAGCACTTATTGTGTGTTTATTGCACCTTGAGCTCTAAATATGGTATACCCCGAAATTCTCACAAGAATCTAATAAGGCTAATCTAATAAAATTCTCACAAGAATCTAACAAGTATTACTATACCCCATTTGACAGATAAACAAACTGAGGCTCTTGCATTTTACATGCTTTGCTTCCAATTCAGAAAGTGGGAAAGCCAGGATTCAGAGCCTGTCCTCATTAGTGGAACTGGCAACAGGACACAGAAGGGAATCCCTCTGAATTTTGCCATTTCATTGCTTGCTTATGAAACACTGTTAAGATCTAAACATGTGTTCACACACACATATGCACACACACACACTAACTCACCTACATTAGGTGTTTACGAAGAAATGTTTTCACAGTCGTCTTTGCAACTGCTGCAATGCACATGTAATCACCGTTGTTTATTATCATAACTGATGTTTTGGTACTTCAGGAATAAAATTGATCTAGTGGGAATGTCAGCCCCACGACTGTAATGATAACCTCGTCCTGGTGTACTCCTTGGGGACTAGCAGGCATACTGGCAGCTGTACAAGGAGAAACGTACATTACAAGTCACTGTAACATCCGTGCAGGGCTAGGTATGAGCTGGGGAGCAAAGGGCTCAGTTACTGCCTGCATTTCCCTGCTCCAAGGACTCCTGGGAAGCAGATGGGGCAGTCTTTAGAGCAAAAAAGGTATCCAGCAGCAAATATTCAAAGTGAACAATTTCCTAGATCATCTTTTCTGCTTGGGACAGACAGTTTAGCACAGCAGTTGAGAGTCTAGGTTCAAATTGTGACTTCAATCCTTCTCATATGGGTGGCTTTGGGTCAGTTGCTGTATCTCTCTGGGTAGCGCTTACCTTTTCTGGAGAAGACTGTAATACTAGTACGTGGCCTGGTGCTGTTCAAGATCAGGGTTAAGCATTTCACTCATGAAAAGTCCTAAGCCCAATGGCTGGCACCTAGTAAGCACTCACTGAATGCTGGTTTCTGTGTCATTATCTTCACTCACTGTGCTACTGGTCTTCACTAATATTCTTGTTTGGGGAGGAAGAAGAACGTTTCCTCTTAGAATTTTACTAAAGGACATTATTGCTTTGAGTACGAAAGAACCCTGGATGACAACTATTTGTTGTTGTTGGTTGCCTCACAGTTTTTACTCACTTCTCACTTCCATTACTATTTTTTCTTATAGATGGATGATGTAATTGATGACATCATTAGCTTGGAATCAAGTTATAATGAAGAAATCCTGGGCTTGATGGATCCTGCTTTGCAAATGGCAAATACGGTATTGATGCCTTTCTCGCCTCTTCTTCTTTTTGTTTTCGTTTTGAAAGAAAATCTTTCAGTATCTCCAGTGTTCTCTCACTTTTCCGGAGCTTATAGTTTAGCTTTGCGGCTGATTCTACGAGAAATGTATTATTAATAAAGTGGAACATTATCTCAGGATTGCAAATAAGTGACTTTGACGTGAGAAAGTAACAGTTTCTCACGAATGTGTTAGTGAGCACATTTCAAAGGTTAATGTCCCCTGGAGTTCAAGTCCACCTTCAGTACAATGGTAGGCCATTGCTTCTCCCTGCCATCTAATGTCCAGTGTACTACACTGTAGTCAAGGGCAGGGCTACTGATGATACTGTGGACAACCGTGATCCAGTTGGCCTGAAACAGTGTAGTTTATCATGGCTGATAGGGAGACGATACCCTTCTTCACAGAGATTCCAATTTTAGTTATAAACAGTGGTGCTATTTGTTCTTATATGTTACTACTTATTTCTCTATAAAATCAGGGGCCTTGACTATATTGTTTATTTTCTTGACTTATGTTCATGTGGCATGTGATTTTGTTATCAAAGCTTTTCTTGCTGCAGACCTCATGTGGTCCTTGTAATAATCGTCTGTGAGTCAAGTCGGCTGCTATCATTGTCATGTTATGATTACGTTGTCAGAGGCAGGATTACCCAGTAAGTCTTTGAATGCTTCTTGTTGTTATTAAGTAAGGGCTGTCAAGTTCTCATCCATAGTGACCCTGTATAGAGTTTCTGAGTAGCAGTGAGTGGGTTTGAATCACTTACCTTGTGGTTAGCAGTCTAGATCTTACTCTACAGTGCCACCGTCTTTTTTGTTTTTCCCTATGAAAGCAATATCCTGAGACTATGATATTCTCTAATAACCAGTGTTTGAAAGACCAACATCCAATTATAAATTTTCTTGGTCAGGAGACAAGAAAACACGCACTGCTATCGAGTCACCACCAACACATAGTATCCCTTCAAAGCAGAGTACAAATCCTCCTTAGGATTTCTGAGACTGTAAATCTTTACATTATTATCGTAGTACATGTGCTTAGTTCAGGAGGGACCAGCCACTGGAGAAGGAAATCACGTTTGGTAAAGTGGAGGGTTGAAGAAAAAGCGGCAGAACCCCCAACGAGATGGGTTGGCACAGTGGCGGCAGCCATGGGCTCAGGTGTAGCAGTGATGGTCAGGTTGGCCCAGGAGCCAACCTGTTGTGCATAGGGTCACTCTTAGTTGGTACTGACTTGATGGCACCTAACAACAACAACAACAACAAATCTTTGCAGGAGCAGACAGCCTCATCTTTCTGTCTTGAAACATCTCTTGGGTTTGACACTCGACCTTGTGGTTGGTTAGAGCTGTTCTAACACTTAACTCTTTATACTTCCGGGTTTCTATGGAGGAGCAAGATAGGGCTTATGTATTTACATTAAACTCCTGTGTAAGCTGACTTTTTATCCTTAGCCCTGGTCCCCAGTCTTTGCCCAGTTCTTGTACTCATGAAGGGTGTGGACTGCCCTTGAAATGTCCCAGCCTCTTCTAGGATCTTTATACTTTGTCTCCTCTCCATCCATGTAAACTCATCCCTTTATTTTGGAAGAACCGCACGTTCTGCTTTTTGAAAATGTTTGCATTCCAAACTGTTGATTAGCTTCCTTGGAACTCTTTTACCTCCACCTCTGTGCATCCCATGAAACTGAATATACTTTCCAGTAGTCAAGAGTCCTGGGGTGAATATGAACAAAACACTTGGGGGCGCCTGTACTAGGGCATCTCTACATATATTCTTATATGTGATGTATTTATAATGTATTCACCGTCCTACCAGTACTAATGCACAATGACCCTGTCCTCTCACAAGAGCTTTATTTAGAAGTGTGGTCTTTTTGCCAGTGGTGTCACATGGATACCATGCCCTCTCGGGAAGATTGTAGAACTGACATGGTGTTGTAAAGCCATTGCCATTTATTTACTTGTTTTGCAATAAAGGGGGTGAGAGGTATAAAGTCATCGGATCCAACCCAGTCCTCAGTGCATTAGCTTTTTCTTGTGTGTCTTCATATCCCCCATAAAAATATTTGTCATCCAACTTCTTGAAGGTCTCCAATGAAGAGTAGGCATTAATATATTGTTGACATTGCGTGCCATCACATAGATTTCTACTCAGACTGACTCTGTATGACAGATAGAATTGCCCCATAAAGTTTCCTAGGCTGTAATCTTTATGAGAGCAGATCACCAGTTTTTTCTCACAGGGAGCAGCAGATAGATTTGAACCCCTGGCTTTTCAGTTAGCAGCTGAGTGCTTAACCACTGTAGCACTAGGACTTATTAATATATAAAGGAAGCCCTGAAACACTGTTAGGAGCTGAAGAGTTATGGTTAGACCTGGTTTCAAATTCTTAGTCGACCAGTTATTCTGTGACAATGCATGTTGCTTGGCTTTGAAGCCCTACATTTCCCCAGCTGTGTAGTGGAGAACTGATCATTGTACATACTGATCCAGTCGCCTCACTTTGGTAAAGTAGATGTAGCAGTTAGTACCCCAAATTGGAAACTTAAGTTACACTGAGTAAAGTTATTCAAATTGTTAAGTGCATTTCGTTAATCACAATGTCACATAATTTTGATACATTTGTTTATTCCGCTGATACTCATTCCTCACAGTGATTCTCTCTGTGAGCCCCAGGCATGAGTCTCAGCTCTGCCTCCTTGAAAACCTTTTCCTCATGGCAGCCCTTGGACGGGACTAGTTACAACCCCATACGCTTCTCTCCTTCCCAGCTGAGTCCCCAGATTTCCTCAGTCCATCTATGTAGACTCAGTGTCTCATTCCCTGGTTATCTGATTGCACCTGAACTATTTTTCAGATTGATTTGGCATTTGTTAAACGCCTAATATGTGACCAGTACTTGGTGAGAGGCTGTAGGTGTCTAGTTGAAAAAGGTATACTTCCTGTTCTCATGGGATTTACTAGTCTGAACGGGGGCACTAGTGGGGGAGAGACCAATTTAGCCCTTGTGTGGAGAAGGATAATACAGGAGCAGAGAGATCCTCTTAGGGGAGATCCCAGATAGAAAGATCCCCTGGGCAGAGTTGACTTAATTCCCAGCTGGGAGAGGAGTAGCCTGTAAGCACTCTCAGAAGTCACGGATTTTGTTCTGGCATCCATTTTTTTATATTCCCACTCCTGAAAAGACTAAGCATGAGACTATTAGAGTCCTCCCTGGGCCAGGACCTTTTTAGGGTTTTGCTCTTAGGAGAAAGACCATATAACCTAGGGGTTAGGAGCACAGACTCAGAACCAGTTGTATGAATTTGATCCATAATGTTTTATGAGTTATTTGACCTTTGTACCTCAGTTTCCTCATCTGTAAAATGGGAATAACAACAGCATCTACCGCAGTATGGTTAGTGTGTGAATTATAGGAGTTGCTCCATGAAACACACTTAAAACAGTCTCTGCCCTGATAAACTCTCAATAAATGTGAAGCGTAGGTAGTGGTTATGAATCTGGCTGCGAACCTTAAGGTCAGCAGTTCGAAACTACCAGCTGTTCTGCAGGAGATACATGAGGCTTTGTGCTCCCATAAACATTTACAGTCTTGGAAAGCCTGTACAGGGTCACTATGAGTCAGAACCGACTCCACGGCACAGAACCACCACAAGCTATTGTTTTGTGGTGTTGTTGTTTTTTTCAATTTGATTTTGTTGCAGACAAACATACGCATATTTATGACGAAGCATTTATGAATTCAGCAACTTGTACTTGAGCACTGCAGTGACCTTGGTTACATTGTTCAAGTTGTACCATCTTTCCAGACATCCTTTTTTGAATTGTTACGTCAGTACAAGTCCACGACCCCCTAAACTTCTCGGTTAACCTTCGGAGTTGACCGTTGTTCCTTTATTAAGTTCCCAGTGGCTGATAATTATTTTTGGAAGCAATTTGCTGGCCCTTGTCTTAAGTTGCTTCTAAGTAGAGGTAAAGGAGCTCTGGTAGCGTAGTGGTTATGAATTGGGTTGTGAACCTCAAGGTCAGCAGTTGGAAACTACCAGTTGTTCCACGGGAGAAAGATGAGGCTCTCTGCTCCTGTAAAGATTTACAGCCTCAGAAATCCTATACAGGGTCGCTGTGGGTCGGAATCAATTCGACAACAGTTAACAACAACAAGTAGAGGTCAAGGAACCCTGGTAGCAACATGGGTTACATGGTGGGCAGCTAACAGCAAGGTCAACGGTTGAAATCCATCAACTGTTCCTCGGGAGAAAGAGAAGGTTTTCTGCTCCCATAATGATTTTTAGCCTCGGAAGCCCAATACAGGATCACCGTGAGTTACAACTGACTGGACAGCATGTACCCGCAGTAGCAGTAGAGACAGAGCTAAGCTCAGCCTTTCAGTTAGCAGCTGAGTTCACTAACGATTTTTCCTGCTCAGGGGCTCCCTAGCGGTCCTAATAGGTGTGAAGTACGGTCTCATTATGATAATCTAGCTGTTCTTGGTTAACTTGTTAAACTTTAGTTGCAAAATTCAGTAACAAAGCTAGTATACCTTGTTGATACATGTTAATTTTTTTCCCACAGTAAAGTTTAAACTTGATGTACTTAATGTTGGAATCCTTCCCTCCTCCCCTTCTTTCATTTGATTCTTTGAAATGCTTTCTTTCAAGTTAACTACTTTTAAAAAAAATGTGGAAGGAACACTTAGAGAGGAAACTGTCCTAAGGGAATTAAAGTCTAGAAATAACTATTCTGAGCACAAGGGCCCTCTTGTACCATCACAAACAAAGCATAGAAGTTCTCGTTTACTCGTGTTAACAGTGCTTGATTGATATTCAGAGACGGGGGCCATCCAGAGAGGAAAAAATAATAACATTTTACAATGATCGCCTACTTGGAAAAATATTCATTTTGGTGGAGCAGAATATTGAAGAACACGATTCAGACCAAGTCTGAGGCGCAGACACACACACCTTCTCTGTATTTGTC